ATTATTATTAGTATATATATATATATATATATATATATATATATATATATATATATATGTATATTTATTTTTTTTTTTGTATCCGTACATCTTGAGATCGAATGAAGAGTTTTCTAATAACCGAACATTTTTTTTGGATTTTTTAGCTATATGTAAAGTTGTAAATAAAACAACACAAAAAAAAAAAGTTTTATTATTGATGAAACGTATCTCTATCTATCGATCCAATCATAGCCCTTTTATCGCTATATTTTCTCTCCACTATGACGCCCTTTGAATCTGCTTTCTCATATAATTTTACCATGCAAAAAATATATATTTTCTTCACATAAGGAGGGTTGTCTTCTTAAAGTATGACATCAATTTGGAAAGGCCTGCAGGCCTCACAAAATCTAGCCAATGGTCACAACCATGAACTACGACAGAATCTACGATTTTTTTTTTTTGGTAATTAACTGGGGACGACAGGCCCCTATCAAATTTTCAATTAGTTAATGGTTTTGGAAGTTATCAGTGCCAATGGAAGCCACAACATGCATATGAAGCATGGGTATGCTACCACTACTACTACCACTACGACCACAACCCCTTTCTTTACAATCTATAGCGTCGAGAAGCGTGATTTGCATTTTATGGTGCTAAAACATAGCAATCCAAGACTCATGCAATAATGTATCTAGAGATGCCAAAGATTTCCTACTCCCACGGCAGTATCCTATCCATTACTCCCTCGATCAGAACTTATACTAGGATCATATTTTAGATCCCAATTTTGGGATGCAATCTATAGAAACCTGCAACCTATCTCGAAGGAAAAAATAAAAATTAACTCGCTCTTTATGTGCCTACAAAGAGTGGCATCCCATCCCAAAATTGTACCGGAACCATCTAATTTTTTGATGGAATAATTTTGACGTTCAATTACTAAAAATCCAAAATTTTATTTGAAATAGTCATCTAGTTATAGTTAGATGGATCCTAAAAATTCAAATAAAAAGGAATCTCTCAAGTAAGTGCTTTTTCCCATAGGGAATAAATGTTAGTACGCTCTCGAGGGAGTACAGTAGACGCACTCGAAAATAAAATTTGCCCTCACCTGTTTTAAAGAATATGTAGGACTACTTTTTTTTGGGCGTAGTTTGCATAAGGTTGCAGTTTTAATGAATAAAAATAAGATGCACCACACAATTTTATAATAAAATAAAAATTTGGTGTAAAAATTTCTTAAGATGAGATGATGGAAAGTAGGAATGAAGATGGTTTATCCAGGCATCAGTCACAAATGTTTTCAAATCAGCACAGGAGGTGATGAGTGACCATTTAATTCACCCCTTTGGTAACGTTTCTATTCCTCTCTCTTCTTCTTCTTCTTTTCTTTT